TAGTCCATATTTCCTCTAAGTTCTGCTTGCATGCTGAAGACTTACTTCTACCTGAATACCTCACTATACACAGCTGGAAGTGCAGCTGATACTCTAAAGATTGCCTTAGCCAGATCCACAAGTTTATTATGTACACTTTTCTACCTTCTACATTTCCACAGACAAGTTTTTTCAACTGTTCCATCTCTACATAATGCAGGTGGCCTTTACTCTAGACTTCTGTAGCTGTTTCCTCATCTCTTCTCTGTCATCCACTTGCCAGCCAATCCCAAAACTAAGGCCATGTGTTCTAGTTTCTTTTTACTGCAGCATCCTACTTCTGGTACCAATAACTGTCAGAGTTCAATCAGGAAAGTAGTGTATGAGTATTATGAGATAATGGATTTTTATGGGCATTAAAACTCATGTAACTACAGGATGAGCTGAGGAAGTGAAAGTTGGGGATGGAGAGTTAGAGACCACAGAAAAGGTCACCAACCAGTTCTCCTAAAGCCCCGGCATGGGTGAAAATGTTGGCATCTGCAGAGGAACCTGACAGGAGAAGTCCATCTAAGGGGCCAAAGAGATACTGTGAAAGGGAAGCTTGTGGAAAGAGGTCTCTGAGAAGCTGCTGGCTCTAAGCAGCTACCACCTCTGTGGGTCCACCTGCAAGCATCTGGCAATAGGCATGGACCATTGTTGGCCATCAGAGCCGGTAGCTGGAAAGAAGAGCTGGGGGCAGAGCAGAAGTGTGATGACAAATTAGAACCTATTGGGCATGTCTACATCTGTCCATCTCTATGTCTTATCATGCAACAACCTTCAGAGAGTGACAACTGTTGCCTTCCAAACTTACACGGATTCCTCTTTCAGCCAACTTTAACTTGGAGCTATACAAGGAAGGAGATTCTGGGGGATGTAATACCTAGACTAACTAAAGTGATAACAGAATAATCCAGTACACTCCCTGAATGTCTGCCTAAATTGTCTGAAACACTCTTCAGTGTCCCAGAGTAGATTTCAGAAGACTCCAGAATGTAGTTTGGGAACATTGACAGGCAAAGCCAAGCCATGTGGCATCTGGACTTTAGGACAAGTAGATTTCAGAAGACTCCAGAATGTAGTTTGGGAACATTGACAGGCAAAGCCAAGCCATGAGGCATCTGGACTTTAGGACAGCCTTTGTTTGCCTAATGTTTTAAGGGAGCACCGGTTAGGGAATCAGGATGCTGCAATTGTGGACCTGGATCCACCACTCACTAGATTCATTTACCACTAGATTCGTTCACCATTCACTGGATTCACTACTCACCTTACCTGAGTCTGGTGAGTAGTGAGTCCAGTAAATTATCTGTTCTTTGATTTCCTCATCTATAAAACGAAAACAATCACTCCTGAATTGCTTTCTCCACATATTGCTCTGTGGAGCCTATTGGTAGATGTCAAGGCATTTGTTAAATTAATGTGATGACTCTATAGACAGTGCAGAGCAGTCGTAGCCATCCTCCCACAGAAATGTGGCCAACTTCCTGCCGCCTCTCCTTAGTTTTGCTTAAGAGATTTGTGCTATTTCTGCTGAGAAAGAAAACTCATGGAAAACAAAGACTCTGCCTTCTCCTCCTTAGATGTATCTCTCTTCCCAGCTCCCTATGCTCAGCAGAGCTTCTTTCCTATATACCAGGAGGTTGGAGGTGTGTGCGGTGAGGTTGACACTCTGAGTACCACACAAACTCTACAACATACAAGAACTTATCAAGGAGTACTGTTCTTAAGAGCCTTTTTAAGTACAAGTTACAGACAGTCAAAACAGAAGCGAGACAAAGAACTTTTGATGAGCACTGGATCTAATGATTATAGCTCAAACGCTAAAAACAAAAGTGGGAACTAAAGCAATAGAACAGAACGTAAATGTCAACATGCCCTGACAAGGTAGAAATGATACAAGAAAGCCTGCAGGGAGGAGAAGGAGAAAAGAAGGTGGAAGGTTGAATAAGTAAACTGGTTTCCTCATTTTATTAATTGCTAGGTGTGGGTGGAGGAATGTCAAAGGATATCATTTTAAGCTAACAAATCAAGTCACAGTATAAGCATATTCGAAGTATGTAAAGGCAAACACTAAGACAATACAATCAACTAATATTAGGTGCTAGAGGAGAGGGAAAGGAGAGAGGAGGAACTATACTAATTTCATCACTTCTTACAATGGGGATTAATAGATACTATCTAAAGAAATGGACAATTAATGGTAGAGTTATAACTATAACGGCTTGAACAAAACCACAAGCCAGAACACACACACAAATGGGGGGCTGTAAGAGGGCGGGTTTACAGAATTTAAAATCGAAAGTCAAACATAAAATGATACCACTGAGAACAAATAGCATATCAATAAAAATAAATAGGCTATGCTTAACTATTAAAATAGTTCAAGATCTATTCAAGAGACATGCCTAAAACAAAATAATTTTTAAAAGGTGGAAAGTTGAGTTAAAAAAAAAGTATAGTAGGCAAATATAAACAAAAGGAAGCAGATATTTTGATCTTAATAACAGTCAGGGTTGTTTTCAGCCCCCACTCCCACTCCCCCAAATGCCTTTGTTATTTGGAAAGTAGAGCAAAGGTATACAGAACAAATTTAAGGTAGTCACTAAATAATTATCCACTCATAAATTTCCATAACATTTCTGGAAAACACATAAGAAACTGTTAACAGTTATTATTTCTAGAGAGTACACTGGGGGTGCAGAAAGAATTTCTATTCTTTCTCTTAAACAATTCTATACAGTTTGAATTCTTGCTAAGAGCATGGTTTTACTTTTGTAAGAGAAAATAATCAATAAATACAAAATATATCACTGAAACTAACAATTATCAGTGTTACTAAACTATGAGTAAACTACATATAATTTATAGGACTGCTCCTAAGAAAATAAACATGAAACTTTTCCAGATGCTATTTTAATTCTAGATGATTATAAAAGATTTAGATACATATAATTATAATTTTGAGTTGTGATGTTCTATTTTTCAAACAGTTGTTAATATTCAAATTTAGAACAACATGCCAAGTACAACAGAAAGAAATACAAGCACTTCACTATAAAGTTTCCTAAATATTTGAGGGTTTGTCATTGAAGTAAGAAGTATAAAGTATTTTTAAGTACTCCTGCTCTTTAAAAATGTGATAGTGCATTTTTGTAGTTTCAAGTATTAAATACAGTTAAACAAGTTAAAAAATAGTATTAAACATAAGAATTAAGAATTTTTTTTTTTGTCTTTTTGTCTTTTTTCCGTGTCCGGCAACGGATCGCAACCCTCAGTGTTGCCCCCGTACCGGACCGGGGACCGGCGACGGGATCGCAAGCCTCGGCGTTGCTCCCGCGCCTCGCTCAGCCAGTGAGCGGGAGC